GCGATCAGGTGGGTAGCGGCGCGGCGCGGCGCGGCGCCCTGCGCCTGCCGGGGCGCCGCCGCCGCTGGCTGCGGCCCGGCTGCGCGCAGCAGCCGCGGGAGCCCCCAATCCCCCGTACGGCTGCCCTCCCCTGCCGCCGCTCACGGCCCGCGCTGCCCTGCCTCGCCTGGTGCCTCCCCTCCTTTCCCTCCCTCCCTACCTACCTACCTACCCCCCTCCCTACCCCTCCCTCCCTCCCCGCAGGTCATGCTGGCGGACCGCGACTTCATGCAGACCCAGCTGCAGGCGGCGGACGAGCACAGCGGCAAGCTGGCGCTGGCGCTGGAGCGCATGCGCCGCAAGCTGGCTTCGGCCACGGGCGTGGACCCAGGCGCGCTGCGGCTGCGCTGCGACTGCGCTGCGCTGCGCTGTGCTGCGCTGTGGCTGCCTGATCCCAGCGCCGTGGGTGCGGGCTGTCGCTACCCGCCCGCGCCGTGTGGTGCTGTCATTCACACCCGTACTGCTGCGGCCCCCCGCCTCCGCTCCTCACCTCCCCCACACCTGCCTCCTCCACGCTGCGTGCAGACAGCATCGACTATGGGCTGGATGTGGACCCCGAGGAGGATGAGGAGCACGCGGCGCTGGAGGTGCGGCCGCACTTTGGGGGCGGCGAGGCAGCATATGCGCGCCGGGGCGGCCGCGGTGTGTGTGTGTGTGCTGGTACTAGCCCCGGGGACGGCCAGGCCGCACGGGGCGGCAGCGGGCCCCCGCGTGCCACGCCGGCCCCTCCCCCTGACCCCGCCGCCGCTCCGCCGCCGCCGCTCCGCCGCCGCCCGCAGGAGGCGTCGCGCCCGCTGCGCCACGGCTACGACCATGTTCTGGCCGAGAAGGTTCTGAAGATGGAGGAGAAGGTGGGGGGCGCTGGTGTGCCGGTGTGCTGGTGTACTGGTGTGCTGGGGCGTGGGCGTGCGTGCGCCTCCATCCCTGCCTCTCCCTTTCTCGCCTGCCTGCCTGCCCCAGCCTGCCTGCAGCTCGCCTGCCCTCCTGCACCCCACCCGCCCCCCCACCAAACCCACCTACCCACCACGCGCTCGCAGGTGCTGCTGGTGCTGGATGCCATCCGGGCCAAGGAGGAGCAGCTGAGCAACCAGCGGCACGTGCTGAGCACGCTGACGGGGCTGGAGGACCAGGTGCAGGTGCAGCTCAAGGAGCTGGAGGGAGAGAACCGCAACCTGCGCCAAGAGCTGGAGCGCCTCGACGCGCAGAACAACAACCTGCAGGTGCGGCGCTGGGCGGCGACGGGTGGGGCGTGTGTGTGTGTGTGTGTTGGTGTGGCCATTGGTGGGTGCCGCGGGGTGGCTGGCTGGGCTGCACGCGTGTTTGCCAGCACGCAGGCGCCCCACCACCACATGCCGTGCCCACCACCACACGCCATGCACCACCACCACGCACCGTGCCCCATCCGCCAACACACACTCACAAACACACTCTCTCTCTCTGCCCCACCCCACCCCCACCCCACCCCCCAGGGCTACAACCTGGACTACATGTCCAACGAAGACCTGGGGGAGCTGATCGGCAGCCTGACGCAGGCGGTGGAGCGCGTGCGCATCACCGTGCAGCTGCGGCGCCTGGCCACCAAGAAGGGGGGCGCGCCGCCCTCCATCAAGTGAGGCGGGGGGGAGGTGGGGTGGGGGTTGGGAGGGAGAGTGT